GCCAGGTTGCTGACGGGGACGGGGCGTTATGCTCACATGACTCCAGTCCTCCGTCAGCTTCACTGGCTTCCCATTGAAGCCCGGGCCCAATTCAAGGTGTTGGTGATGACCTATAAAGCCCTAAACGGCTTGGGTCCTGGTTACCTGAAGGAGCGCTTACATCCATATATGCCCAACTGCCCCTTGAGATCTGCGGGAGAGGCCCTTCTCGGGGAACCCTCCATGAAAGAAATTAGGAGGGTAGGTACTCGGAGGAGGGCTTTCCCTGCGGTGGTGCCCAATTTATGGAATGAGCTTCGCAGAGAGGTCCGTCTGGCGCCGTCATTTGTTTTTCGGCGCCAGGTGAAGACATTTTTATTTAAATGTCATTTTAATTGTTAACAATATTTGCTTATTTATCCGGCCAGGGCAACTTCTTTTATATTTTTTTATGTATTTTATATTGTTAATTTTAATTTTTATATTGTTATTTTTGTATTTTATTGTATTTTATTGTGTTGTAAGCCGCCCCGAGGCTTTGGCAAGGGGCGGCATAGAAATGTTTTAATAAATAAATAATAAATAAATGTTCAGGAAGGGAGGATGTAAGAGGATTCAGACTCAGGCCAGGCGCTTCCCACAGCCTCTTTTGCTCCCGCAGCCTGTCCTTTGGAGGGCAGCCTTCTCCCGGCTTCCCCAGGCAGGAATCAACCACTCCTTTCCAGCAGCAGAACAATGGGGCACTTGCCCACAGGAGCCACACTGAGAAGCTCCCTCTTGTGTGCAGAAGACAGATTTCATCAAGCTTTGGGGGCACCAGTTGTGAGCGGAAACATGCAAGAGGAGTGAGGTTAAGGTCTGCCTGTCCTGGGGCTGCACCATATTTGAGATTCTGTTTAGCACAGGAATAGATTACTAGATGGAGGTGTTACTATTACTACTACTCTACACGACTCTGGTGCGCCCGCAATTGGAGTATTGTGTTCAGTTTTGGGCCCCTCATTTCAGAACGGATATAGCCAGGTTGGAGTCAGTGCAGCGTAGGGCCACAAGGTTGGTGGCTGGTTTGCAGGGAATGCCATATGAGGCGAGACTGAGGGAACTGGGTCTCTTCAGCCTGGAGAAGAGGAGACTCAGAGGGGATCTGTTGGCGACATACAGGTATGTGAGGGGATGTCACATGGAGATGGGTAGAGACCTGTTCTCCCCTGCAGAGGAAGGCAGGACACGCTCCAATGGAGCAAAGCTCAGGGGACCAATGTTCAATTTGGATGCCAGGAAGCACTTCCTGACAGTCTGGACCCCGAGGGTGTGGAATGGGCTTCCACGAGAGGTCG